CCACCGCCCGCCCCATGGAGGCCACCGAAGGGCCCGGGGTGGCCACCGACGGGTTAAAAGTGGCCAAAAAGGAGCCCGGACCCCCCTGGGAAACGACTGAGGCCGTTTTGGGTAAAAACGAGGCGGTTTTGGGCAAAAAGGAGGCGGTTTTGGGGCCCACAGAGCCCACAGCGGCCACCCTGGGCCCTGTGGTGGCCACCAACCAGGCCGCGGTGGCCCAAAGGGGGTCGGCGGTGGCCAAAGGGGGGACGACGGTGGCCAAGGAGGAGCCGGGGGACGGTTTGGGGTCAACAGTGGAGGTTTTGGGGTCAACGGTGGAGGTTTTGGGGTTGACGGAGGCCAATGTGGGGCCGAGAGTGGCCAATGGAGAAGCAACGGTGGCCACCTCCGGGTCAACGGTGGCCAAGGAGGAGCCAGGAGCCCCTGAGAAGTCAACGGTGGCCAACGTGGGGTCAACGGTAGCCACTACGGGGTCAACAGTGGCCACCTCCGGGTCAACGGAGGCCAATGGAGAAGCAATGGTGGCCACCATGGGGTCGACGGTGGCCAAGGAGGAGCCAGGAGCCACCAGGACGTCAACATCCACCATCTTGGGGTCAACGGTAGCCAATGGAGAGCCAACGGTGGCCGCCACGGGGTCAACGGTGGCCACCTCCCGGTCGACGGTGGCCACTACGGGGTCAACAGTGGCCACTACGGGGTCAACAGTGGCCAAGGAAGACCCAACGGTGGCCAAGGAGGAGCCAGAAGGACTTGGCAAGTCAACGGTGGCCATCTTGGGGTCAACGGCAGCCAACGGAGAGCCAACGGTGGCCACCTCCGGGTCAACAGTGGCCAACGAAGACCCAGCGATGGCCAACGAAGACCCAACGGTGGCCAACAAAGACCCAATGGTGGCCAACAAAGACCCAACGGTGGCCAAGGCGGAGCCAGAAGGACTTGGCAAGTCAACGGCGGCCATCTTGGGGTCAACGGTGGCCAACGAAGACCCAACGGTGGCCAACGAAGACCCAACGATGGCCAACGAAGACCCAACGATGGCCAATAAAGACCCAACGGTGGCCAACGGAGACCCAACGATGGCCAAGGAGAAGGTGGAAGAACCCAAGAAGTCAACGGCGGCCATCTTGGGGCCAACACCAGCCAACAAAGACCCAACGGTGGCCAAGGAGAAGGCAGAAGAACCCAAGAAGTCAACGGTGGCCAAGGAAGACCCAACGGTGGCCAAGGAAGACCCAACGATGGCCAACAAAGACCCAACGATGGCCAAAGAGGAGTCGGAACCCCTGCCCCGCCCCGTGGCGGCCATCTTGGAGCCCGGCTCCTCCCTCGGGGTGGCTTCTTGGGGGTCGCAGAGCAGCCTGGGCCCCGGGATCCCGCCCCCCCGTGGGGCAGGGGGTGGGGGAAGGGACCTGGACTCGGTGAGTCTCCTCTCGGGGACCTCGGAGTCGTTGATCGGGGGCGACGACGTCAGCTCCGTGGGGTCGGACTCGGAGGCGGCCGCCCCACATCTCTACGGACGCACCGACCGCTACGGCTTCTTGGGGGGCGCCCACTACGGACAGGCCCCGTGAGTATCCCCCCCCTCCCCCTCCTTCCCCTCCAAAAATGGGGGGTTTCACCCCAAAAAATGGGGCTCCCCACACACACACACACACAACCCCCGGTGGGTCTGGGGGCCTGGGAGGGTGTGGGGACCCCCCAAAATGTGGGGCTGGGGGGGGTCTGTGGGGCTAAATGTGGGGCTGGGTGGGTGTCTATGGGGCTGGGGGGTG